TAACAAAAGCAGTGAGAAATGATTATTGTGTTGTTTTTTTCTTCCTCCCAAAATATGTGTGTGTATTCTTATTTTTGTTTTTATTCACCCCTTTGTTATTATTTTTGCAGTGGAGGTGGCGTTTCTAGCGTGGGGAGTGCGCCTGTGCATCGTGGTGCGCAAGGCGCCGTCCGAGTTCAACGAGAGCCGCTTCATCTCCATGGCCATCTACAACGAGTTCCTCCTCTCCGTCTTCCTCAACGTCTCCATGTAAGTGCGCGCGTCGCAAGAGACGCGGAGACCGCCATCGTGAAAGGGGCCAGGGAGGGGGGTGGCCGGGGCTTGCTATGGTTGTTAGCACCGGGACACGCTGTACCAACAGTGACGCGTGGGTGGTGAGGAAGTCGCGGAGCAGATGACACTGTGCACAACGAGCTAGCGAGATTTTCTCTCGGATTTTTCCTCCTTTTTTCTGTGGCGGACTTTCGCTGCGCCAATTATCTTTCCTTCCCTTTCTCCTTTTTTTTCTTCCCTTCAAGAGGGCGAAATAATAATATGAAACTTGTGGAATTGTTGTTTGTTCCAGGTTGTTCCTACAGTCTCCGGCTAATCCGGATTTACTGTTCGTCATCTTCTTCTGCCACACGCAGCTCACCATCACCCTTCTCCTCGGGCTCATTTTCGGCAGCAAAGTAAGTTCCGCGCGCGGGGTTGGATTGCAGGGCAAGGGGGGGGGGGGGGGTCTGTACTTACTCCGCGAGTGTGGAGCAGTGTCAGTCCTACCACAGACGTTCGGCTCTGCACGCTTCAGCACTTGCAATACCCAGGAAGCCCGCCTAACGAGCCACGAAAGGGGAGCGCGGTTGACTATACACGCGCTACGCTCACGCTCTCAACCTCTCAACACCGTGGTCGCCTGGCTTGCCAACATATCTGCACTTCCTTTTGATTGCCAAATTTTGAATGTCTTTTGGAGACAGACGACTTTTGGCCTCTATGCTTTGCTTGCATTTGGTCAAAAAGTTGGCCTTGCTTTCAAAAGGGTATTTACATTTTAGCAAATAACGGCCAAAAGTCGGCCAATATTTGGCAATCAGAAAGGAATACCAAAATTTTGGCAAGCTAGGCGATCACGGCGTTTTTCAGAGGGTAGTCAAGCGCCTGATAGGTAGGCAATAGACTGCCACGGCGCTGGAGCTGGTGGCCTACCCAGCGCTCGTCAGGCTCCACGACCGAGGACGAGGAGGAGGTGGTCGCCCTTGAAGAGGCCATCATGATGATGACGACCGCGAGAGCGACGCGAGACGGGACAACTAGATGGCCTTTTCTGTCGAGCGCCCTGTGCTGTACAGGCAGTAGTGTGGGCTGGACGTCAGCCAGCAGACACGGCTTGCGCGGTGCGCGCCTGCGGGCCGGAGGGTAGGCAACCCAACCCACAGGGCTGCTGGGTCGGTGCCGCGCTGGCAGGCGCGCCGCCCGAAGGGTACTTGGTACTTTATTCACTCCACTCCAAAAAAATATATAAAAAAATAGTATACCCTCAAATAAACTTACGAATCACACTAAAAAAAATTGAGGAAAAGTCGAGAAAAATTAAAACTTTTAAAAAAATATAAAAATTGCTGTGCGCTTGAATTTAAAATGAGGAACCCCTCCTTCCCCCTATCGTACCCCGTGACGGATTATTGCTCTTTGGTTCGGCGCGGTGCGCGCACGGCAGCAGCCCCGTGACCGAGGAGAGCGAAGTATCGGTTATCGGACGGGTGGTTGCTGCGGGTGGCGGGCCGTCCGTCAGTCCGGACAACGAACGGGCGGCGTTTTTAAAAACTTTCTAGAGAAAATCGGTGCAGTCCATACAGCTTCATATGGCTTCAAAACAAACATCACTCCACACTAAAAAAAATGAATTATTTTCCCCCCAAAAAAATGTTTTTTGAAATATCAGAAAGATACCATATTGCTCTTGAGGCAGTGGTTCTCCGGGCGCGGCTCGCTGCCCCACCCCGCGCCCCTGCCCTGGGCCTTTTCGACTTTGGTTCCCCGCGCGCTAACCCAATCCCGGGGCGCCCTGCCGCAACGCAGCAGACCCAAGTTTTCGAGACGGAATCTTATTAACCTCGTTTTGGGAACAGAACATTTTTGGCGCGTTGTGCCGCCCTAGGAAGGCGCCATTATTATTTCAGCCTGCACAGTTGCGCCAGTGAGGGCTGCAGAGCCCAGGGCCCAGGGCCCATCCGAGTCATCCAATTTGCACATTCTTCCCGCCAGCCGTTAAAATCGTCCTTTGCAAATTAAATACACTCGTCACGTTTCAAAGCGCTCTACTCTGCGCGGACTGCCCTGTTGAGCAGGGTCGCTTCTCTGCTGAGGAAAACCCATAGAGCGGGAAGGGGTCGGGAGAGTGGGTCGGGCAGTACTGCTCTTTTCCCCCTTCGTAGTTTTATCGGCCGGTCGGCATCCCTATATTTATTTTTATATATACTCTTGCGTTACAATAAATCTCGTGATGATCGCTTTTATGTGGCTGTGCCTGCCCGTCCGTCTGTAACCACGGGTCCAGTCCAGTTCGGACATTTCGATTTCCCCCATCCACCTCTTCTGCGCAGAACAACAATTCCAACAAGACGTCATCATGGGGGAACTACTCGGAAATGGACTTCCTGTCCCTTTCGCTTGCTCCCTCACGCCGCGTCTCGCTCACTCACTCTTTCTCTGCCTCTCTCTGTTCCTCCGTCCCTCTTAAACAGTCTTGGCGAACGCCTTTTACGTTGGTCGGTGCGTTGTCTAGCAGGGGTGCACAGTGCTGAGCCGAAGCTAAGCGACGGTCTGACCGGTTTACGATACGCACCTGTTGCACTAAGGGAGGGAGGAGGGGAGGGGGATGGTGCGGACGGAGTGGTTAGAGATGCGTGTGTCCGTGACAGAGCTTTATTTATCTCGATTTTTTTTGTTGTATTTTTCAGGCGTACCTTGTGTTTCGGGACCGCGGGCGGCTCGAGGAGGCGCCCTCCATGCCCAAGGCGCCCACCACCAAGTTCCTCCGCTCCACCAACTCGCACTACGCGACGCAGCCCACGCCCGCCTCGTCCAACTGCAACGCGCAGCAGAACGACGTCGGCGTGCAGGTGAGCCGCCTCGGCCTCCGCCCCTCTATACATACGGCTGTGTGTGTGTGTGGTGCTAAACGTTGACGGCCTCGTTCGCTTGCAGGAAGAGTTCTCGCGCCTCAAGTCGGCCCTGGACGCGCTCCGGGACCGCAGCGTGTGCCGCGGGGACCGCATCCTGGCGGCGCGCATCGGCGCCATGCTGGAGTGCGCCGGCCCGGGCCAGCACCGCGCACTCAAGGAGTCCGAGGAGGACGCGGCCAAGGCCAAGGAGGACGCGGCCAAGGCCAAGGAGGACGAGGCGCGGCGCGCCGTGGAGATGGCGCTGGCCGCGGTGGCGCAGCGGGCCGAGGCCAAGCCCAAGCTCGCCACGCCCACCGAGGCCTCGGCGCCCCAGTCTGACGGCGAGCTCATGCAGGTGAGGACGACCCCGGTCGCGGCCCTGTCCCCAGAGGCCTCTTCGGGCCCCTCCCCAGGGCTGTCGTCCATGTCGACGCCCTGCCCGGGGTCGGTGGCGGGCCGCGTGGACGTGGCCACGTCCCCCGAGCGGGGTCTCAACTCGTCAGAGGAGGAGGACGATGACGAGGACTTCGACTACGACGAGGAGGACGACGGTGACGCGGACAGCCGACGGCCCGCGCCGCCCCTCACGCTCAAGGAGCTGCGAGCCGTGCGGCGCAGCTTCAAGAGGGCGGCGGCCGCGGCTGCTTCCTCGACGGCGTCCACGGCCTCGACGTGCGGCGGATCGAGCGTGGGTAGCCCGGGAGGTCCCTGCAACGGGGAGCCGCGGCACAATCACCGTCACCACCACCACCACCATCATCACCACCACCACCATCACCACCGCAAGCACCACCAGAGGCACAAACAGGTGACACAAGCCAGGAGCAGGTCCTTCGAGGACACCGCGGTGCCTCCGCGGCTACCGCACTCGGTGCAGCCCCCGAGCAGGTGCTGTGCAGGGGCCACGGGCGCCGCGGGTCCTGCGAACCATGGCGACCACTTCGGAGGCCCCTGTCGAGGACACGGCCGGAGCGCCTCCTGCCCCTCCTCGGATTCCAGTCCCAATGGCGTCTTCTCAGCGCCCCTCGTCCTGGACATGGACGACAAGAACAGGTTTACGGAGGAGGTGGCCGTATGAGAACGGCCTCGCTGTTAGGAATGCTTTTGCAGTTGCTACAACTTCTCTCTGTGATAGTGTATTTCTAACAGTGCTGAACGTTACTTTTTTCTTGGCGTGTGCATGCGGTCCTCTGTGTTTTGCGCGTGCGTGGTGTGAGTGCGTGTGTGTGTGTGTGTGTGTGTGTGTTTGTGAGAGAGAGAAAGAGAGAGAGAGAGAGAGAGAGAGAGAGAGAGAGAGACGTAACTAAGATGCATAAGGGGTTAGTGGTTGAAGGTATACTAGTGGTACTCTATGTACTCTATGGAGATGATTGATTACTGTTTTCGTCAATGAACTAGGTTATTCTTGCTATGGCAAACATATCAGTAACCATTTGTTTCGATTTATTATCCCTCATATCAAGTGCTATTTGAAAACAACTCATATCAAAAATACTCATAATAAGAGTTCCTATATCTAGGACAGCATCAAATATAGAAGAAGATTGGTTTTAATCAATGTCCTGGTTTCATTGCTTTATTTGGGCCCTATATCACTTTTTTAAAAGACCTTGTTTATTGTGCTAACAGAATCAGATCAGTGACCAGCTTCCACAAAACCTGCAAGATACCAATGTGCCAATGAATGGGTACTATAAAAGTCCCATGTAAAGAGTAATGGATAGGGAGACATAGTTTATGAACCATCTGTGATAACGCCACATAATCTTATCTTAATTTTAGTTTTGGTGCCAAATGAGTATTTGGAAAGATTGTCTGTTAAGCCACGAAGACTTGTTACACAATGAGCCCCTGTTGCAAGGCTTCCTGGTACCTCTTCACGCATGGTCTCCAGGCAAATATTCTCCTTTGAAATACAGTTTTAAACTCATTTAAGCCCCTCGTCCCAGTGAAAAATGTCATCTAATCGACGTTGAATCTCTGGCAAATCGTCGGCTCGACAAAAAACATTTATTTCGATTTCGACTTTGGACTCGTCACTGGGCCGGACACTTGTTGTTCGGTTCAAAATCACTCAGATTTAATTGAATGTTGAGATTTCTGTTCAACTAGTGTTGGCTGAGTTGAGTTTGCGGCTGTATTTTCTGAAGTAACATAATCAAATGACTTGTGGCTGTATTTCTGTCTAAAATTCGAGTGTATCAAAATACTCTGGCATGTACTTTATTTTCCTGTTTGGCTATATGATAATGATGTTATTGTGATTATGTTAGACTCCGATATGTGCATTCTGATGGAATGTTGCAATGAGGCATGGGCAAATCTATCAATGTAACCTAAGTGATCAACATGGGTAAAAAGATGCACGTGGACAATGTTACTGTTTAATGGAATTATTGCTGTGAGTGTAAATAATCTACAAAGCAAATTTCACCATAGTAAAGTAGTATCATAAATTGATTAAAAGTTATATCTTTGTCCATTGATTGTAGAGTATGAATGATATCTTATTTATAGGAACTGACACAGGGTGATATTTTTCTTCTGGTACTAAGATGCTGATAACTTACCTCCTTACTGAACTTGCACTGCATTTCTTGGCAAGCCTCAGGCCTGTTTTTCTAGTGTGGAAATTTTTGCATTGTTCCCCTTACTATGTTCTTTATTATGTGCTGCAATGACCTACAGGCACGAATTTTTGTAACGACAACAATAAAGTCAGGACATATCCTTCTGGGACATTTTATTTTGGTTTCAGAAGCATTAATTTAAAATAAGCAATAAAGTGTGACTGTCTCGCTGACATGCTTGAGACTGCTGATGTTTTGAGTGCCATGCGAATCTTCTGTCCTTGCTCAAGACGCACATGTGTATCATATTAAAAATAAATCAATCTGTTGGAATTTCATCTCGACATTATCAATGATCAAACTCATTCCGAACACGAACATGGTGGGCATTAGTTCCCGGTGACAATGGACTAGCCATCGGGCCGTTGGTCACTGCCAAGGGCGCAGAGACGATGGCTCCAAATGTATAGTACTTAGTGGGCCGTCTCCCGGGCGAGATAACGCGCTGCGCTGCTGTGGTGGGTGCAACGGGGCGGGCGCCGTCCGTAAGCCGGCAGGTTTGGGGCGGGGAGCGATCCCCTACTAAGGGGGAAGTCCCATCGGCAGAACCGACACGAAGCGATTGAGACAGGCGCGGCTGAAAACAATGAAAAACCATTGAAAGCCGCGAGGCCTATCATCGCAGTCAGGCCCGTATTTGTACAGTGTGCGGTCCCCCGGGAGCCGGGAGGAGCCGCCGCTCGGGGTCGGTCCCCGAGCAGGAAGCTCCGACAATACCGGCCGGGTGTGGACACTGTGGGCCCCCGGCGCGCCCGGCGGGCCGCCTGAGTGGGGCCCTCGTCCACGCCAGTGCAGTCCTAAGCACGGTCCATTAAGGCAAGATACGATGCGGGGGGCCCTCCGAGAGGGGAGAGGGCCAGACGGGACAATCTACAACAAAATGTGCCTCGACGGCGCGACTTGCTCTTCTAAAAGCGCGCCCTTGGTCCCGGCCCGCCTTATATACAGCCAGTGATCCCTTTCAGACCGCGGAGAAGAGATTATGCCTCCTCATCGCCGGCGTGGCGCTTCAGGGGGGGAGTGTTGATGACGATGGGGACCGGGAAAACATCCCTCGGGGGATGATAGGTCGAATAATGTAAAAATATCAAGGGTCCGGCGCATGGCTGAGAATGCTCAGAGGCCTTACCCACCCACTCGCTCTGTCGTGGCTGATGTGAGCAAGGTTCACGGGTGCACCGACGGTCCGTACGCAGGTTGACGTCAGCGGGAATGCGACCGTCGCTGTACCGCCGCACGGGGAGAAATTATCATGATCGGCGAAAACTGCCCAGTGCTACGAGCTTGCGGCCAGCTCATCCACGCGGACCTCACTCGCCGCCTCGCTCGCCGCGCAAAACGTCAGTTCGGCCTTGTCGGCGTTTGCTTCGATTCGATGCCGTTTGGCTTTCCCCGAATCACACGCGCGGGGTGGGCGTCTTAGGGGGTTTGTTTCTTTCCCTGTTAAGGTGCGGAGAGTGCTGTAAGGTAGGATCGCAGCTCGACTCGGAAATAAATCAAGATGAAACAAGCTACTAATTTCCATTAAGGAATTTTTCTTCCCCCCTAGCTGTTTTTACGGCACGCGACTTTTTAACGGTCGAATTACAGCAGTTCTATATCCCGGCGCGCGCGCGGCTGTCTGCTTTTACAACAGAAAAAGCCCCCCCTTTCAGCGCCTCCCGCTGCGCGACGTGAGAAATTAAAGTGGCCGTGAATACAGCAGCGGCGGCGCAAGAGGGTTACGGTTGCGGCGTAAAGCACGGCCCCGTAAAGTGGGGAATGTCATTTACACGCCTAGCCGCGCTGGAGAGAGAGAGAGAGAGAGAGAGAGAGTGAGGGAAGGGGGGGGGAGAGAGAGACTGAGATAGGGGAGCAGCGGTGGTGAGCAGATAGCGAGCCTT